TCACTCTTCAGGCTGGGGTTAGGGACCTTCTCCACGTACTCCTCCACCAGGCCCCTCTCGTTGCCCGAGATCTGGCTCCGAAGGTCCCGCTCCACGCCCTGCCAGGCTAAGGATGGCGACGCAGTCAGAGCTCCAGCCCACTGGGCAGTGTCCCGGCCAGGAGAGCACCCCCCCCTCCCTCAGGGCGTCCTCACAGCCTCTCCCCACTCACAGCACGTGGCCCCCAGACTGGCCGGCTCTGGACCTGAAGTCATCCCCGGGGCACCCCACTCCCTCAGGGAGACCCGCTTGGACCACCCCCTCGGCCTCCTGCCCGGCTCCTCGAGCGGCCTGTCCCCTCATCCTCTGATGCATGCCCAGGGCTGCGGTCCCAGAGGCTCAGCGCTCACCCCTCCAGGCACACAGCCCACTTCTGGGACACCACTGGGTTCCCCGAGAGTGCACATCTGTCTTCCACAGCCCTCCCCCCACCGCCCCCACAAATAACCCAACCAGCTACAAACACTGCCTCCTCTGAGGGCAGTGCCCACTAGGAACCCCAAGTGCTGACCGCCCCATCACAAGAACCTGTTCTCCCGGGACAGGCCCCATCACCCGCCTGCCTGGGCCCCGGAGGCCGGGGGAGTGGGGGGGCCAGGGGGGCGCCTGTACCTTCGTAAATGAAGCGCACATTCTCCTCGTGGGCCGGGGTGAAGATCTCGCTGCTGTTGGGGGGAGAGCGGGGGCTGCTGTTCCTCTTGCCGTTGTAGACGACTCTGGAGACGGGGGAACTGGGGGGACCCGGCACATGAGGAGAGTCTGGGGACCAGGGTGGGGACCCCACGCCCCTTGCCCCCAGGACGGACGGAGGCTGCTCTGAGGCCTAACACCCACCTGGTCATCGCTGGGTCTGGTCCTCACGCTCGGCTGCCGGGTCCCTCAGCCTCTGAAGGGAAACCGGACACAGGGCGGGTCACCTCTCCAGGGGCCCCCGAGAGGGGAGGGCGAGGGGTGCCGCTCCCTCCCTCTAAGCTGATGACAAACTGCTCTGGCCTCACTACTGGGGGGACCCGGAGGGTGGGCCTGCCACAATCTGGGCTGGGGCTGCAGCAGGCCCCACTGGTGGGAGCAGCATGCATGCCCGGAGCACCCGAGTCCCAGCACCTGGAAAAGCTGCCGGGGCCCCTCCCCAGAGTCGGGCGGTACGGATGGTGCCGGCGGCGGACACCCATTTCCAGAAGCACAGCGCCTCTCAGGTGGACCCCCCCTGCCCGCACCTGCCGGGCCTGGCATGCTGCCTCCGCGAGCCTCAGTTCCCATCAGGGTGCCCCCAGCGGTGAGGAGCCCAATGGCTGCACAGAACCCGCCCAGCTTCCTGGTCCTGGAGGCTGGGGTGAGCGAGCTGGTGCTGGGGACGCAGCCAGCAGGGCGAGGGCAGGGGAGGGGTGTGAGCCAGGAGGAAGCGCCAGCCCGAGGCCTGACCCAGTGACCAGGACCCTGGAGCCCGGCCTGTTTCTCCCGGGCTCTGCCCAGGGGATGTTACAGCCCCGGGTGCGAGTCTATTTTTAGCCTCACTCTCAACCTTGCCAGCTGGACACACCGCAGGGTGAGGCACTGGCTGCACAGGGCTGGTCCCAGGCCGGTCCCCGTCCCAGAGCAGGGCAACCCCCGGTGCTGGGGTGGGGAGCCTGGGAGGGGGCTTGGAGCACAGGAGCCTCCCCACTCGCCCTGGACCCCAGGGGCCCTCAGACTGCCCAGAGCATGAGCCACAGCCCCTCCCGGAGGGCCAGGAGGGTGGGTCGGTGGGTGTGTCCTCCCCGGCTCACGCAGCCATGTTTAAACACCTGTGCAGGTAAGCAGGCGCCCACAGGCCCAGTCCAGAACAAAAACGCACAAACCAGCCTCCAGGAGGCACCGGAGCCCTGGCCCCCAGGCAGGGGCCTCCAGCCGTGTTCCTGCCCAGGGCCAGGGCACAGGGGGGCGCCCAGGGCCACTCCCCAAGGGGCTGTGGCCGTGAGCAGAGGGGAAGCTCCAATTACGCAACAGGATGGAGATGCCGGCAAGATGACCAGCCCTTCCCGCCCTGGGCCAGGCCCTGGCCTCCCTGCAGTCTGTGCCCTTCGACCTGGCCAGCCAGGTCCAGAGCCTTGCCAGCCTCCACCTCTCCTCCCAGTGCAGCTTGGCCTCGGCCTCTGGTCACAGCCTGGCTCCCCCTGCTCCCCTTCGTCTCTGCCGTCCCAGGCCTGGCTGGGCTGGGCCTCGAGCAGCTGGCCCCGAGCTGGGCCTCAGGCCCCCAGATGCTGGGTCTTTGCGCTGGGGGCCCACCACATGCCACCCTTTGGGCTGGGCTTCCTGCCCAGACCAGGACCTGGTTGAGGTGGCACCAGCTCCCGGGCCGGGCTGTGCCCTAGTCACCGAGCACCCTCACCGTCCGAGGGGTCTGGTCAGAGCACCTGGGAAGCACTCAGCAGGTTCTCTCACCTCCAGAGTGAAGACAAATAACACGACATTTTCAAAGGAGCCACTGCCTGCCTCCTCTCAAGGGCGGGGCACACCCACCAGGCCTGACTAATGGCTTCCCAGCCAGGAAGCTCGAGTCCTCCCACGGCCCTCAGCTCAGCTCCCTCCCGCCTTCCTCACCAGGACCTTGTGCTGGCCCTGCCCTGCCAGGAGCCTCACTCACAAGGATCATCGAGCACAATTGCTTCAAGCCGTGAGCTCGGAGCGCCGTCACGTGCAGCGCGTGCTGTCACCGGAGAGGCCTCCCCAGGGACTGACCGCTCCGGGCTGGGCGTGGGGCACCGCCCGCAGGTCCCAGTCTGCCTGCTCTTTCCCTCGAGTGCAGCCGCCCGAGGCGCTCTCAGAGCTGAAGACACAGTCAGTCTCCCCTCGGCCCACAGGGGCCTCCCTCCCAGAGCCTCCGCCTAGGTGCTCATCTCTTCTCCCCATTCCCGGGGACCCGTGCGAGGACCACCCCAATGGGGACAGCCTCCTGCACCACCTCCCTCATCCCCCAACACGCGTTGCCAGCACGATCTTCCCGACAACCTCTTCCCAAGCCGTTTCTCACCCGGACACCACCCAGGCCTCTGCTGCCACCTCGCTCTCGGTCTGGCCCAATCCATTCACCAGGTGTCCAGCTGCTGGGCCCCTGGCCCACCCCCAAACATTCTCTGCCACAGAGCCACCTCTGCCGGCTGCCATCAGCAGGAGAACCACACATCCCCACCCCCCCACTCTGTAGGCCTTGACTAGCCCAAGCGCCTGGTGGGCGGAGTCCAGAACCACTCAGTGGCAGAAGGTCACCCATCCAGCTGCCCCTGGGCCAGTCCCTTCTCTCTCTGGGCCTCAGCGTCCTCATCTGAGCCACAGCGGCCCCCAAGGTGCTCACCGGGCCCTCCTGCTCGACAGGGATCCAGGCACAGCCGCGTGAAGCCACCACCTCAAAGGAGCTCTCCAGGGCTGCTTATCCGCTATGACGACGGACAGGGCCATCATCGGAGGAACGTACCGCCAAACGGGGCACTTCTGAGAGTGAGAGGGATGCTGCTGATTGCGAAGCGTGAACGGGGCAGTTCTGGGCAACCCGACAGTCCCCACCCACTCAGAGGAGGCAGAGACCCAGAAAAATACAGGGCGCTGTGGAGAACAGCAGAGCCCGTGGACGGCAGACACCTGTCCACGGCTGACACCTGTCCACGGCAGACACCTGTCCACGGCAGACACCTGTGCACGGCAGACACCTGTGCACGGCTGACACCTGTCCACGGCAGACATGTGTCCACGGCAGACACCTGGCCACGGCAGACATCTGTCCACGGCAGACACGTGTCCACGGCAGACATCTGTCCACGGCAGACACCTGTCCACGGCAGACATGTGTCCACGGCTGACACCTGGCCACGGCTGACATCTGTCCACGGCTGACACCGGGCCAGGGCAGACACCGGGCCAGGGCAGACACCTGGCCATGGCAGAAACCTGTCCACGGCTGACACCTGTCCACGGCAGACACCTGGCCACGGCAGCCACCTGGCCACGGCAGACATCTGTCCACGGCAGCCACCTGGCCACGGCAGACACCTGTCCACGGCAGACACCCGTCCACGGCTGACACCTGTCCACGGCTGACACCTGGCCACGGCAGACACCTGGCCAGGGCTAGTTGCGGGCGCGGCTGCACTGGGCGCTTTACACGCAGCTCACACCCCACACTGGGCCCGGAAGAGGCGCCTGACAACCCCCTTTTTGGAGGCTTGGTGGGTAAAGCAGCCTGCTACCCTGCACCCCAACCGCTGGGCCTCCAGGGCCACGGCAGCTAGGGCCGCCCGGACGGTTCAGCTGGGCTCCACGCCCCCGTGCCCGCCTGTGCCCGCGCTGCCTCCCCGACATCGATGTGGCCCTGCTCAGGCATTGGAGGGCGCCCTCACACGCAGTACCTTGCTCTCCCATGGGAACCAAGGGCTCCGGAGACCGCCTGGGGGAGGCCAGGGGCCCACAGCCGGGCCTCTGACCCCGTCTCAAGCCCCTTCCCCACACACAGCCACCGCCGGGCGGGAGAGAAGGCATGTGCGGCCCAGAACAGTGGCGGCGGGAATTCCGAGTAGAACCCGTGACGCAGCTGCTGCTCGCTCTGTCCCTTCGGAATTTCCCAGCAGCGGGTTTCCTTAGATTCCACTTTCCCGCCATTGCGCGTGGGGGGCTCTCCCCGGCCCAGGTCCAGCCAATGAGACAATGGTCCGCCCCGGCAGCCTGCAGGTCACTGCGGCGCTAGACCCCCGAGGGGCCGCCCGTCCATCACCGGGGCCAGGCCCCTTCCTGAGTGACCACAGCAGCTGCGCCCCGGCCCCCACGAACGACTGGGGCTTGTGCATCCCCTTCGACGTCACCTGGAAACCCCGCCGCCCCCCAAATAAAGACCTCGCCGGCCCCTCCTCCCGTCCGCTCCCGGCTCAGTCCTC